CTCCATCAGCATGGTCAGGTTGCATCTTTCCTTTCAGCTTAGAAGATAAAGGCGTGCCTGTACTCCTGTGGCCCCGCTCTGCCCTTCACAGCCAGCACACTGCTGGGGGGGAGTGTTAAGTGTTAATGTCATTCATCCCTGTATTCCACCTACAGCCTGATGCAACACCCACAACCCTTATCGTTGGGGGAGAAGGAACTGAGCTGATTTTATGTATCTTGTACAAAAATTATAGGGCAGCACAGTGGCATAGTGGTTAGCGCTTCTGCCTTGCAGCACTGGGGGTCATTGGTTCAAATCCTAGCCAGGTCACTATCTGCAAGGAGTTTGCATTGTGCTTGTAAGACATACAGAAAGATAAATTGACCCTGTATGTATGCATGTGATATAGGGACCTTAGATTGTAAGCTCCTTGAGGGCAGGACCTGATGTGAATGTACACTATGCAAATTGTTGGCGCTATATAAATACCTGTAATAAATAAATTATGAAAAAGTACTAAAAACGCTAGGATAATGATGTAATGGAGAAGGATTTTGACATAAAGGCAACAAGGGCAGTTGAATAGCAAACAGGGGCAAGGCCTTCATGGTAGAATTACTAGCTATTATTTTATTGAGAACTGCATATTTCAAAGACTGAAAATAAGTTTTCAAACATGTCAACGCTTATTTGAGCGTTGACATTGAGCATTGAGATTTGAGATATTACATTTAGATATACTTTAATACTTGTATAGGCACAAAACAATTGTTGCTCAGGGACGTGCAGTCAGGGGAGACATGTGAGGCAGAGCCTCACCTAGTATTATGGAGGAAAAAGGAATCAGCTTCAATTCTGAAGCTGAAAGCTTTTTCTCCTGTTAGATCAGCTTCTATCAGGTTACAGAGCAGGGAAATCCTCCCCGAAGCGTAACATGTTATGGATGAAGAGCTGCATCCTAATTACAGACAGCGCTGCATCAAGCTTTTGACAGGTAGTTAGGTTACACAGCAGCGGGCTTCCCCACTGCTTGTGCAACCTAACTAGAGCTGTCACAGCCCCTACTCTTTGTTAGAGGCGTGAGCTCTGTGGATGGCTTGGACCAATGGCAAAGCGCGATTGGTCCAAGCTGTCCAATCAAAAAAACAAACAAAACACTGAAGCCATTGATCTCGATGCCTCAGCAATGATGAGCAAGTAGGGGACATGGAGGCCCCTCCCTGTCTCCTCCCTTCCTCCTTCACACTAGCTTGGGACTGGGTTTGGGAAAGTGGCAAATATTTTAAATATATAATACAGTATATCTAAACATTTTTTATGAGCACATTTGTATTGGGTACAGGGCCTAGGGCAGGAAAAAAGAGAAGGTAATAAATACAAAGAGGTCTTTATCTAATGTTCAGCAACCCCAGGTGAGCACAAATATAACAAAGGATTAGCTCAGGATGCAGGGAGAAATTATCAGACCATAAAATGGTTACTTGGAAGTACCCTTCTCCTGGCAACCGCCAAACCCAGACACATCCATCGTATTGCCAAACAGAGACGCATGATTCGTCACTCCAGAGAACACGTCTCCACTTCTCTAAAAGCCAGTGGTGGCGTGCTTTACATCACTGCATCCAATGCTATGCATTGCACTTGGTGATGTAAGGCTTGGATGCAGCTGCTCGGCCATGGAAACCCATTCCATGAAGCTCTCTCGCACTGTTTTGCCAATCTGAAGGCCACACAAAGTTTGGTGGTCTGTAGCTATTGACTCTGCAGACAGTTGGGGACTTCTGCACACTGCAGCATGCGCTGACCCCGCTCTGTCATTTTATGTGGCCTACCACTTCGTGGCTGAGTTGCTGTTGTACCCAGTTGCTTTCAATTTGTTATAATACCACTAACAGTTGAACGTGGAATATTTAGTAGCAAGGAAATTTCACGGAACACCTGAATCCAAAGATTCTAGAAGAGCAATGGGAATTACATTTTTTTTTATCTACCAGTACCTTTGGTCAGGTGCGAGGCTTTACCCAACCAGGCCCTCACAAGGCACTGCGGTGCGCAGTACCTTGTGGGTCGCTCGGCGGGCGAATAGCCCTCCGAACGCCCTGCCAGTTCAACTCGAACATTGAGCCCATCTCTAAAAGCAAATGGAAAGAGCATGAACAAAATGATAATGTTTTACTGCACAACCTTTAGAGACAAGCAATTTTCTTCTGCACCTGCCAACAGATAGTTTGGCAAACTGCTCCAGCTGTCTAAGGTTTAAAGGGTGCCTTATACAGACTGCATGTTTTAGCACTTTAGTTCCATGTTCACTAAGATTCAGATCAGGGACCACTTCAGAATAGCCCAATGTTTAGTTTGGCTTGTAGATATGCATTTTAGCATATTCTAGACTGGCTTTTTTTAGGTTTATCTTTCAGCAGCCGATTCTTTCTTTGAGCCCACTATCACTCAAAAAACAACAGATAGTGTGATTAGATACTGATGTACCTTGAGCTTTGAGTTTAGCGCGTGTCTCTTTGGAAGTTTTCCATGGCTCTTTGGAATTGATTTACTAAAGGCAAACAGACTTAATTTTACAAGGGAATTTGCACTTTGCAGGTGAAGTTTCCCCTTAGTTTAGTGAATGAGGTGAAGGCCTGCTGATTTCTCTCTCTCAATCAGGTGCAAGAAAAAGTACTTATTTTTGTATTTTTCTTTGCACGAGGTTGGGTATTCTCTGTAAAATGCAAATTCACCACATTTACTAAGCTAAGATAAAATTTCCCTGCAAAGTGAACATCCTATTTGCTTCTAGTAAATCAACCCCTTTGTCTACCATTCACACTATCCTTCTGTTTAATCTGGGGTCAATGTTCCTCCTGCAGCCACGTTCAGGGAGGTTAGCAGCACTTCCATGTACCTTAAACTTCCTAATAATATTTATAGCTGTAGTCACAGTAGAACATAAAGCTGCTTGGAAATAGTCTGAAATTTTTTTTCCTTTGACATGCTGATCTATAATTTTCTGCTTGATCTCCTAAGACAACTCTCTCCTTTCTCTGGTCCATGTTCAGTGTGGTGCACATGATGATACCAAACACCAGAGTGACTACTTTTCTCTGATTGCAAGATTGAAGACGTGCCAGATACTAATTACAGAAAACAGTTAGTTTGAAATACCACTATGATCCATGTTTTAATAATCTTTTCCAAATCTGGCCAAGCAATACTTTTGTATATGTTATATATTTGTATAATATATTTACCATATTTGTAGGATATACAACAATTATCTATTTTCAAACATTCTTTTCTTTACTCTATGACATACCAAATATATGGTATTCAGGTATACATGACACAACTGCTATTAATGTTATCACATTTCAGGAGGAATAAAGCATTGTTTAAATGATGATTAAGACCACCAACAAATTTGTCCATGACTTCTAAGCAGATGGTTTGATTTCACTTTAAGTATTCAAGGCATATTAAAATGTATATAGGGCCAAGTTTCGTTTTTTTTAATATATAGAGTAGGATTTAATAGTAGAGTAGAGTGGAGTTTAATATTCAAGGCATATTTTAGTGTATATAAGGCCAATTTTTTTGTTTTTGTTTTGGATAGAGCAGGGAATGGTTAAAACCTGTTATTTTTATTTATTTATTGCTTTTTAAGAGATTCCTCTGTTTATCCTAGTGACCATTATCATAACAAACTCCAAAATTGTACAGTTTGCACACGAACAGGAGGTAAGAGGGAACCTTTTTAATGAGGACTCCTTTTTTCAATGACACCTGTTTAATAGGGATTTTCATCTTACTTCCTGTTGTGTCTGTGGAACATGAAAAAAGGGGAAAACCTCCCCAACTGGGGAAAAAAAAATGTAACATGAGTTTTAACCATTATCTACTGGTTTTATAGCGAAGAAGAAAAGATTTGGTTTTAAATCACTTTTAACTAAATTTTAAATCTGGCAGAAGCAGTGACCATGGCTGTAATGCAAATTTCGGGATTGTTTTCATGGACATTTTCATGAAATTAAGAAAAACAAATAGAATTTAAAACACAACTGTATGCACAGGTCTATTCATTCTATGGCCAATAATTGATGTACAATATATCCCCCATTTACAGTATGTTCCACCTAAAAAAGAAAGCTTGTTTAAGCAAATCTTATCACTTTGGGTTTTGAAAGTTACACAGTCCTAAGAGATCAAAAGACAGCATTTTGCTTTTAATAGCGTCCTACATTTGTGGAAGGAGGCCTGGTCAGTGCTAGTTTTTGTATCTTATATCATATTAAATGATTTTTTTTAAAAATCAAAAACTAAAACACTTTGTAGAGCTATGCAATGTGTGAATAAATGACCCAATGACAGGTTGTAAGTTGTTTAATGGTGTGGTGCAATTGTCTCATATCATTAAGCAGCAACCGACCGTGGGTATATATTTTTATTCAGCAAAGTACAGCATAAATCAAGTGTGAAAAACAATTAGATAACTATCTACAATGTGGAGTTCTAACATCTATAAATATAAGTTTAAAAAAAGTAGAACATTTTACCTAGACCAAAAAACATGAAACAAAATACATGTGAATAGCATAACAAAACTTAAAAAAAGATGGCCTTTAATTTACTAATGCTTACCACAGAATAAAACGAATTACATTGTGAGCAGTTGTAATACAGCATTTCAATTGAAATCACATGGATAAAAAGTAAAGTGTCTATTTTCGCTCTTTGTGACAGCTGTCTACTCTTCTCCTTATTTGACAAAATAATAATTTGCCATTATAATGAGAAAACATTATCAATGTGCAGGTATATAAAAGTTTTGCAAATATAATTTTCTTAACAAAAGACAGCATTTTATATCAATCTAATATCAAATGTAAAATAAATGTGACATTAAAAAAACATAGATTTGCCCTTCATTAATCGTTGAATGCACAGGTACCCTGCAGAAAGTAGAACACGCTTCCTTGTCATTCTGACATTGGGAGTTCTGAGTTGTTCAAACAGGAAAACAGAGAGCTTTGCTATTTTCAAATCTGCCAATAACTTGTTTCCCATTAAGTCCTCAAGGTTACTTCTCTAAATGAGCATGGTTCCGGTAGACAGGTAAGCCAGGCAATGAGCACATCAATACATGCAAATGTAAAATATAGCAGTCTATATATGGTTTGTATATTTATGAAGACTTCAAAGTAAAGACATACCAGAAAACTGATTTTGTTATTTTATTTAAAAAAAAACAGATATGTTTTCATTGATGGCTCCAAAAAGTCCAAATGGACAAAATGTTTTCCCACCGTTATCAACGATTTGAGTACCATACTGTATATATTCAGCACTCTCCAGGAATGCAGACAAAGACATATAGATCGATCGAACGATCGAAAGAAAGATCGATAGATAAGACAACAGAAGAGATATTTTCAGTTATTTCCCTATCATGCTACTCCTTACAGAAAAATGCACAGCCAGCATGTGCGGAAAAAGTACAGACTCTATACTGTAATAATATATATACACAGACATCATTACATGCTTGTACTGTGTAAGTTCACCTACACATACTAGGTGAATCATAAAAACGTTACTAAAATAACGTACCAAATCTCTTGCAAGCCCAAGGGCAGAATATTTGCAGGGTCTGCTCCTGTAACTAAACCCTTTTAGCCATCTCGAAGACCACTTCTGTAAATGGAGAGACTCCTTGTGTATTTTTTCACTATGCAGCAAATATTCTGGAGCAATGGGGTACAGGGGACAGCTGAAGCCTCTCCAAGTACAATAATACATTGTAGAAGTTGCCATACTTCTTTCAGTGGTGGTAAAGTAGTGGTTTTAGGTTAGTTCAATAGTGCTTTATTCAGTCCTTGTGCAAGTGTAGTGATATCCAAACATCTCACTTCTCACTACCCAGCAACAAGTGGAAGTTCGATAGCTCAGCCCTTATAATGCAGGCATTTAAGTGGCATTATTCTTGGGCTTGTAAAGAGAACAGCTTAAAGATTATGTCTAATATTGCTAGACATTTTATTCAATACATAGTAGAAAAATATACCTTTTTAATCTATCTAAACACTTTTAATACATATGCATAGTGACTTTAAAAATCCTGTGAAAACTGTAAAAAAGAGACATAGAAAATAGACATAGAACAAGAAATCAGCCAAACTCTTCAAAATTGTTTTCTAGATAAAAACAGTTGTGCAAACTAAAAAGTAACAGAAGTAGAAAAGTATTCATAGCAATAACACTATCATGAATTTTACGGAGTATGACAACTTATTGTCATAGTTCTTCCCAGTTGACAAAATAATTTTGTATAACTAGTTACTACCGTTTTCCATGCCCTAAACTGACCGATGGCTCTAGAGGGTTAAGAGACCGGCTGGGCCTGCCTACTCTACCACCATTAATGCGTGCAAATGCTTTGGGTGGACTAGGGCCTGCGGTCACATGTTCATTTCTTAGAGGAACAGATGCCTCACCCCCACAAGTTCTGCTAGAAAAGGTTGCATCTTTAGAGGCACTAAATAGTTGAATGCCTTGCTGCATAACACTTACGAACATTTGTGCAGATTGCTGATGGTGCTGGGACATTAACAGCAGGTTAGAGGCAATTTTTTCTAAAATTGCATTCTGCTGCATAAGAAGTTCAGTGCTGGACTTCTCCGAAGCCATAATCTGCTTCAGAGATTTATTCATATCTTTCACATGGCCATTGAGGACATTAAACTTCCTGGACATTGTTTTTCGCATTTGGCTCTGTTCGGCATAAATGAGAGCTGTGTGTTCACTGATGTCATTCCGGATAGTGGGAGGAACTTGATCACTGCTGAATGGAGGCATCATAGGCAGTTCATTGAACGTCTCATCAGATGCTGTTTTCTGTACACTAGCAATGTGCTGTTCATCTTTTTCAGGTTGAATATCTTGCTGCATAAAGTAATCTTTCTCTTTGATGGAGTCAAGATGACTTGAAAGAGGAGCCATATATATTGCTGCCTTTTCTTCTTCCATCTCACGGAAGTCTGCCTTGTCTTGAAGCACATCAGTTATGACCATGCTGGTCGGTATTTCTAGATAAAAGGAAATTAATGTTGTTAGATCATATCAAAGAAAAAATAGATTCAGAAAATAAAGCGTGTGCATCCCATTTTAAGCTCAGGACTACAAAATGCAGTGTTGTGTATGCAATATATAAGCAATGTTGTGGAGCAATATATTAATTAAAATTACACTAATCATGAAGGTAAATTAAACTTTCGCCAATCTGGGCAAAGTGATAGTGTCTCCTGATAGCCCAACTTAGCAAAGTGTACTCACTAATACATGCTGCAAGAGTCCACCCTGGTTAACCACCTGTAATCAGAGCTTATTTAGGTGGATGACATCATTGATGATGGCCCAACTGTTGATGATCAATTCATGTAATTACAGTCCAAAAGGAAAATTCATACCACACCACATAAGAGATTCTTTCGGTTCAGTCCTTTGGAGGATTTTTTTTAAAGTACCCACATTATTGTTTCAAGCCCTGTTGAAGGGAGAGTACTCTTGCTCCAGAACCACATTGGCCATTTTCCTTTGTAATTGAATAAGTAAAAACTCTGGACTTTTTCACCCATTTGGTCTGGTGCCTATTCAATATATGTTTACACTCTAAGTCATTGATGATGAGGACTGTCACATGGGAAATGGGAAATGTGCCCTCTTACCTAGAAACCCTGCTCTGTTACCTTGCTGGAAGGTTGGGCTATCAGGAGACAGTATCAATGCGCCCTGAATGGGCAAAGTGACTGTATCTCTTAACAATAGCTGTATGTTAGCTTATACAAAAAAGAAAACATAATATACACACACACACACACACACACACACACACACACACACACACACACTAACATAACATGTAAAAATTGCAAAACAAAAGTCATCAGGATTATATAAGATAATCACCCTTATTTGCAAACTGTTGTTGGAAGACTAATGTACATTTAGCAGGTTTCAGTAATGATAAAGTAATTACAACTTCCCTTTGAGAATATGCTTCATCATTGGTAAGTGCTGACAGCTTAAGTTTTTATTACCTGAGATTAAATCAACAGTGAGTGTCGGTACTGCAATAGTAATGCTGGCTAGCTGTAGCAGGGTGCAGGAAAACCAACACTGTCAGTGTATTGGTGGTTCATGAAGTTTAAAGGTCTATTAACACAGTTTTGAGGGTTCGTTCACACCAAAAGCAAGGTGTTCCAGCCCGATTCTGGCCAGAACGCAGTGCAGCCGGCTCACGTTTTGGCGGGGCAGGAGGGGGCATGACGGGCCATTGAAGTGAATGGCACCATAGCCACTCCCTCCGGCCACAGTGCGATTGTCCGCATGGGATCGCAAGGCACATTGTGCCACAATGTGCCTTGCGATCCCGTGTGGACGATCACATTGCGGTCGGAGGGTGTGGCTACGGTGCCATTTACTTCAATGGCCCGCCACGCCCCCTCCGGCCCCGCAAAAAAGTAAGCCGGCATTCTGATTTATTGACATGAAGCATATATGTAGATCGGGAACAATGTAGTGGATGACTACGGAATACTGGAACAGCCAATAATATAGCATTTTCAGTAGGATTTAGTCTGACTGCTAATAAAGATACTCACAAGGAGTACTGTGTCTCTGGCTAACCACATTAAAATAAACATTTCCTGAGAGGGCCACGAAGACTACAATTGCCATTTCTAAATCTGCAAATGTCAATGTTCTGGTTGTCATATTAAAGGGTTAACTGTTCCATAACATCATGGGTAGCTTTAAAGCATCCCTAAAGGATGTTAAAGGATTTGCATATTTTTAATATTGCCATTTAAGTTGCATAAAAGACCCTCTTCAGGCTGGTCAGTTTTTATAAAAATAAATTTGCAGTGGTACGTGTCCCCCATGGTAGTAGCTACCTGTGCCTTTTTTGTAAACATAAACTTGCAAATTAGCCTTAAGAAAGGGCAGAAAACAATGACAAGATTCACCTCCTATAGACTTCAATAGGATTTAGTGTTATGTGTAGGGTTTGGGGACTATCCACTGGATTCACTAAACCTCCAGTGAACTGAACTTGATTTGGTTCACTTATCCTTAGTGAAGATACAAATAATAAATTAAGTATTAAGCTATATATGATCTAAATCTTTTTGCTGAAATATGATGTTAAATTAGCCATCTTGGGGTGGTATACAAAGTAGCTATTATTACTATAAACAATGTAGCCAAAAGTATGCGGACGCCCTCATAGATTCAGGTATTCCCAGTAAAGAGTAATGTTATTGCTACAGCATACAGTACAAAGACATTTTTATATTATTATATACACTATAAAAGCACATAAGGGTTAAACAAAGTGTGTCACCCCAAATATCAAACAGCTTTTACATTTATGCTTTATAATACCTAACCGTATCAGCCTGAAAGAATATTTTGTCTAGGTGGGTTATCTGGAAGAAAATCTAATATTGATTTTTGACAACTCATACAGAAAACAATTACATTTGTATTGTAATGGTGGAAAAGGATATTCTTTTTTCTTAAACAAAACATAATCTAAGTAACATCTCAACATTATTTGCTCATCATATCCTTCAAAATCTTACTGAAAAAAACAATGGAGGTTTGATGTGTTACAAGGACCAATCAGCTCTTCCGTGATCCAATGTGAATGTATCAAGCTCTGTGCCATATTAAGGTTGCAAGAGTTATCTGTTTGCTATTATCTTTTTTTTTTTCGTTGTAGTGCTGTAAGCATTTCTCCATTGGATATTTTAGAAACACAGACTCCAACAAAAAATAAAAATAAAACACTTTAATCAATTGCAAAGCCCTATCTAACGAACAGGACCAAAGTGATAATAGAAACCTGGCCAAAATCCAATACCCTTTGGCTATTCTGAGATGGGAAAATCAAGATACATTCTTGGCAGTGACAGGAAATATTGAAAGAGGATGATAACTGCCTAAGCTCAACCGAGTGATAAAAAAAATGTAACTACCAATGTTTATCTGCTTAGCAGAATATCATTTTTTCCCTTCTCATAATAATTACTGTAGGCATAGATATTTTATAGCAAAAATATTGGCCATTCTCTGTGGTAGCATTTTCTATTGTGCTCAAGGGCAATGCCACTAGATGCAGCTGGTAAAAGGCATTTTAGTTGTAATTGTTTTATTAGATGATCTAACGTGCCAAACAAACTTTTTTTTCACAGCTGTTGAACTTCTAACTGCAACATGAATGGGGAATCAAAACTCCCGGCTAATTAAATTAACCATTCTGTTAAATAAAGCAAAACTTTGTCATGAAATACTAAACAGATGGGTTGCTGATTTGTTTTGAGCCCCAGAGCTTGTCTAGGCTGTTCTCGGGCCATAGTGTTGATGTGGATGATTTGACATTTCATTGATTTTTATATTTCCTATTTTACTTCTATAACCCTTCTGGTTGTGCTGATAATTTACTAATGGTGTAAATAAACAAGAGACTCGTAGATGAAGTTAAAGTAGATCTAAATCCAGTGGCTAAAATTCTCACCTGAGCTTTACCATGTTAATGTAATTTCAAAAGTTGCTTTTTTCAACCTTTTTAAATCTGCATTTTTAAATAAAATAATCTCTGGTAATACTGCCCGTCCTTGATCAGGCACTTCCTGTTATGGGGTGACAACTGTGATCCTACACGGTCACCCTGTCACTTCCATCTCCTATACGCAGCCATGTGTATGCAGAGTTCACTATTGTCACTATCACTCTGGAAACCTGTCCTGAGAAATTATGCCACCTCTAGAGCTAGGGCATGCAGACAGGAAATACCTGAAAGAGGCAGTGGGAGGTCATTAGCACTGAGATGGAAAAAGAATGAGGAAAAAAAAAGGTGAAAAATATTTTTTATGGAAGAATGGCACAGTGCTTTAGCAAACAAAATGTCATCTTGTTAGGGTGTGGATCTACTTTAAATAAAATTGTATCCAATTTATTTCCTGTATTAAACCATATAATATATTAAACCAATATTAACCAGCAGTAACTATATCAAAGTTAGTTGTGGATTGAGATGAATGCATTTTGTATATATAACCTAAAATACGTGCCCTGCTATTTTTGATCTACTAATTTAATGCCCCACTTTAAGAACCCCAAGTGTCCTATTGAGTGGAAGAGTTTCCTAGACTGGAATATTGACGTCTAATGAATACTCATTGGTTCTGTGGTCCCCTATGCCACCATCAGACCTATTAAGTGTTTAGTGTAGGACTACTTATTATTAAACAGAAATAGGAAAGAGACTTTATTGCAAAATAAACTGACATTCCTCTACTGAACTGTGATTAATTGAGTTAAGGTACTCATAAACAATACATTATATTGAGGAAAAAGAAATACAAAATCACTATACATTACCTTTAAATACTCACACCCCCTCTAATGTAAATACAAGATAAAGAGGGTATGCCAAATATTCTCTGGGGCCACTTGCAGTGTATTCCCATTATTCTTTATATATTCCCGATCATCCAAAGCTATAGTTTAGTATGTGTGATATTCATCTCAGACTGTTATAAAACAACCATATAGGGGTATGGAAAAACATTCATGATATAATTTGGGATGCTATATGACGATCAGGTGCAGGGCTACACATGTCAAATGGCATAAAAGCCAACAAAGGTATTTGTAACACATGTACTAAAATTTCCATGATACAATAAAAGTTTTAACCTCCTGACAAATCCCATGCATGTAGATGTGTCTTGAAATGTCTACCATGGAAAACAAATGTTTGCCATGCTGACAGGCTACAGATGCATGGAATATAGGAACTGCTATATAACTGTCGTGTTCAACTCTAAATACTTAAAGCTGAATTCTGGACTTGTGTCAAATGTCTGTAGCACCTTGTGGTTAGAAGTAAGAAACCGGCATGTGTAAAATGGACCCTGGGGATTTGTTCTTTCATATAATTATTTTGAAAATGATCTGAGGCAGAAAGCTGTGATGTTTAAAAGAGCCTGTTGGCCCTCCCACTAAATCCGTAGATGAGGACCAGGAACGCCCAGTGATGACATCACTGGTTCTCAAAATCAGTATTTCTAGAAACACAAAATTATTTGATTCAAACATTCTAATTGCATGTTAAACAGGGAAATGGGGAACAAGGTAAGCATTATATGCGTACACTACACAAAACTGACTACCAGGCCAACAGTTGAATATATAGATGAAAGCCACATATATAGGAGCTGTTTTACCTGCCAAAAAGTTTTAATTTCCCTCCACTCAGTCCTGAGATTTACTCAGTTCTGCAACATGACAATGGTCCTATTTGGCAGGAGAGGAGGCTGATTTTTCTCTGCAAGTCTTGTCCCTCCCCCAACCTGTAACTGGACAGTAAAAGGAGAAGCAGGTGACTGATAAAATCATATCGCTTGCCACACTGCTCTCTTTCCCACTACAGTATTCTACTTTTCAGCACATAATTATCTCAGTCTTACCCCTCCCCTTTCCAGTCTGAACCCTGGTGTAGAGAGGGCTTCAAGAGACCGATATTGGGTCAAATCTAGCTACTTACAGCTTGAATAAAATGGTTTGAATAAAATAAATAAACATAGCATTGCATTAATCAATACAGAGTTGCATTAAAGGAGAACTATTGAGTGAGAGTAAAATGTACTCTTCCCAATAGTTTGAGCGTGTGACACTGCAGCTATCACATGTCGGCTCTATAGCTCGAAAACTGAGCGATCACAAACTGCTGAGTGCTCCGCTCACGATCTTCTCCCTGCAGGGATTCCCCCCTCCCAGTGTTCCATCTGTGGAACATGCAGAAACGATGATTTTTGTCTTGCTGTGACACAATCTTTAATGATTCTCCGAAATATATATTGTACCTGTTTTTAGATGTGCTGCCAACATGAGTGTAATAACAGCCTGATAACTTGCGATACACGTAGCTAGGCGTCATGTGCCAGTGACTGCCTTCACAACACATTCGCTCATCTTGCCAGGTATTTATTTCTGTTATCTAGCTGGAAAATGATATTATGTCTGCCCTAGTTTGATTCACTAGTATAACAATGACATTAGCTGTGGAATACGTTTCTGCAGCCAGTCAGTTATTTAGCACAGTGATTTTTCCTTCTGTCTTATTGTTACGTTTATAAAGTATGCATGAACTTATTTC